CAGGACAATATCTGCAAAACTTGGCAAGGAGAGTCGGAGAGTCACAAACCTATTAAGTGAACTAATTGTCTCCTACAAACTCCACTCCCTTTTCATTCCTCTTTTATTTATTTCCTCTGGGAGGGGCCATTCACCGTCCACCTGTGGCTTTACTCCCAAGTTGACCCCTGTTTTTTAGCTGTTCCTTTCGTCTGGCAACTCTGCACATGCGCACACTGGGAACAGGCTCCTGCTGTTCATCTGCCTCACTGATGTCTGACTCTGAAGGCAGCTGATAACTGGCATACGGCTCTGGCCCCCTCTTTGCCTCCGACACAAGAGCCCTCATCAAAACCTTCCCCAGACTCCAGGACTGGCCCATCTTCCTCCCCAACCTCCTCACTATCTGAATCTTCTCCCAGCTTTGCTGGCAGGCCACAACAGGACATAGGAGATGCTCCCCAAAATAGGGTGGCACATCACTTTCAAGGCTCGTAACACAACAGGAGGAGAAGACAACTTGTCTCAGGATATGTAGTTGTGGATTAGCACGTCTACACCTCGTCTTTTGAGGGACAACCGGCATAAGTTGTATGGCCTATTGCAAGATGGCTTTCCAGGGAAAGGCTCCTCGAAGGAAGCAGGGAAAGGACAATCTGGAATGTCTACACAAAGGACACCCTTTTCTCCAGGCAGGGTGGCTCAAAAGCATTCCAATTTCAGGAGGAGGCTGAAGGCCTCACAAATATAAATATATAAAAATAAAATATAAAAAAAGATGTGGAGACTCTAGAAAGAGTGCAGAGAAGAGCAACCAGGACGATTAGGCGACTGGAGGCTAAAACAGATGATGAATGATTGCAGGAACTGCGCCTGGCTAGTCTAGAGAAGAGAAGGACCAGGGGAAACAGGATGGCAGTCTTCCAATATTTGAGGGGCTGCCACAGAGAGGAGGGGGTCAGGCTATTTTCCAAAGCACAAAAACGCCAGACGAGGAATAATAGATGGAAACTGAATAAGGAGAGATTCAACCTGGAAATAAGGAGGAATTTTCTGACAGTGAGAGCAATCAACCCAAGGAACAGAAGTTGCCTTCAGAAGTTGTGGGAGCTTCATCACTGGAAACTTTCAAGAAGAGACTGGACTGCCATTTGTCGGAAATGGTTTAGAATCTCCTGCTTGGGCAGGGGGTTGGACTGGATGACCTAAAAGGTCCCTTCCAACTCTGTTAATCTGATCTAATCAAGGACATCCACCTAGCAAGTTCACATCATTCACCTGATCTGCTCCTTGCATCATCATCATCACATAAATTGGCCATCTACCTCCCATCCAGATCGCCCAACCTTACAAACGATTCCTTCAGAAACTATTATTCGTAATATTCAAAGATCAAAGGAAGGCTGCAGCTCTTCAGAATGCAAAGCAGATTATTCCATGCTCAGCTATGGCGTCTTCTCTACCCATGACTTTGCCAGAGGGAGCTTCTTCAGGGGAGGCGGGGGGGAGAATTTGCTATTTATACTCAGAGACTGCACGTGACATGACGTGACATGTCAAGGAAGGATGGGAGAGCTGCAAGACATATGCCTTTTTCCAGGAAAGACATCCCATCGCCGGCACCTCTGGAATCAAGAGGAAATAATCCTCATATTCCACTGTGAAGCTTTTCAAGGACATTTGCTTGATCAGGGCAAAAACCAGGAAGATATTAAGCAAACTCCCATCAGCAAAATCCTTCTTTTTTATTCTTCAGTCGGAGTTAAGTAATGCTCTAGCAAAATCGTGCTTAAATTATTCAGCCTTGGGTTTCTTCTTCACACTTTCTGGATTGCTCGTGCAAGACCACGAGCCCCGGTGCCCAAGGACCCCGATAGTCGTACGTAGAAACAGTGTTCGCTATTGTCTTCGCTAGCTATCGCTGGTCTTCAGAATTTTACGGCTTGTAAGTGCTAAATCTGGTGAAGCAACAACCTGCAGTTCTGAGGCTCAGAGAGGACATTTATCTGAGCACATCAAAAGCCAGTCGGCAGCTTTAAACAACTGTTGTAGAGTTGGCAGGAGTGTCAGACAGTGAGGAGGTTGGGGAGGAATATGGGCCAGTCCTGGGAAGCTCAGACGAGGGCTCTGCATCTGAGGCAGAGAGAGAGAGCTAGACAGCAGCGAGGCAGAAGAACAGCTGGAGCCTGTTCCCAGTGTGCGCATTTGCAAAATGGCCACAACAACTAAGAAAGCAGGGCCGACTTAGGAGTAAAGCCACAACTTGGAGGTGTTGAAACAAAAGAGGAGTGAATGGGGAGGGGGCTTTTGCAGGAAAAAAATTCGTTCCTTCGGTCATTTCAAGGAGGGAAGGAGGGAGGGAAGCAAGGAGGGAAGGAAGGAGGGAAGGAAGGAGAGAAGGAGAGAAGAAAGGAGGGANAGGGAGGGAAGGAAGGGAAGGAGAGAAGGAAGGAAGGAAGGAAGGAAGGAAGGAAGGAAGGAAGGAAGGAAGGAAGGAAGGAAGGAAAGGATTCCTGCTTACTCAGAAAGGCATTTTTCGACAAGAGAAGATGAAGGGAAAAATATAATCTCACATCAAACCTGGTGATCTCTTTGAATCACAACTCCCACACTCCCAGGCCCATGGGAAACAGGCTGATATGAACTACAGTGCAAAACATTGATTGATTGATTGATTGATTGATTAAATTGATTTGCCCCCTGCCCCTCCCTGGGGCCACTCTAGGCATCTTACAGCCATACAATGAAACATGGGCAGTGAAGCCAGGGATGAAAGTGGAGGAAACATGAGCTCAGTTTCTGATCTCTGACCCAACATACAAACGGCAAAATCAGAGATACTTCTCCATTGAAATATGTACTGGAACAGAAATGAGTCACAGTCCAGGTAGTCCTCGACTTACAGCTGTTCATTTAGTGATAGTTCAAAGTTACAACAGCAGTGGAAA